ACCAAACATGACAGAAATAAATAAAACAACCACAAAAATAGGAGACAGAGAAAGGAAAAATACCAAGTGTCCATCCTTGATCTTTGGAATCCACAAAGCGGGGTTGGGATCATTCTACTGGAAGAAAACAAGTTCTGCCCAGGCATCTTCTTTCCCCAAACCCTCCAAATTGCAATTACTGATAACCTGTAGCTGATAAATTAGCAGTGTCAGTCTCTCAGATTAAAGAATTACAGATTTCCCCGTGTTCACTAGGGAAAGGGGAGTACTCAGCATAAAATCCCTGTGTGAAGAACAAGGTTCACTCTTTCAAATTTTTAAAAGTTTAATAAGGGGAAAAAGGGATAAAATCCAACCCTGGGGTTGGCTATCTGCCAAAAGCACATCCTTAGTTTAAAATAATGTTCTTTATAAACTGTTATGTTACAGGAGGTACATGCATATTCATTAGAGTTTATGCATATTCCAACCTTCCTTTGCATTTAGATGTTCTTTTGCTTGGTTTTAACCTTTGACTTTCTTCATGCCATCTTGTAGATTAAACCAATATATTTTATTTCTTCTCATGATTCCATCCTGTTGTTTTTACACTCCCTGATAACAAGTTGTCAGTAAATTGGGTTCTGGTTTTTGTCACTGTTATATTATCACTCAGATCATCTACAGCTGTGAGAAACTGCCTAGTTATCTTACACCATCCTCTGAGTTAGTTACATAAAAGCATTTTAACATCACATAGTCTCCATTTTAATATTATACTACAGCCTAAGATATATTTATCAAATTACTATTTACTATTTATATAAGCTATACGGTACATACATACACTCACAGATTATACTATACAAAAAAACAGTTAAAAGGAAATATAAATTGTACCATATCAACATCTTTGTGATTATTAATAATAAAAAGCTAACACATAAATGCAAAAGCCAATGTTATATTCTCATTTAGAACACTCAAAAGAACAGGAAGCCTCTGCTTTAACTGCATCAGGACAAGAGTTCCATACAGAACCCTAAATATTTTCTGCTCTGCAATGGCAAATATCCTCCCTCTGCTTCTGTCCTACAGTCCAAACCTGATTTCACTAAATTCAGAGGCAGAACAAAAGGTCCAGGACTTAACTCTGGGACTGGATTGCTTCTCTAGGCTCAACAAAGCCCTGTGGGTGTCTCACTCGCTGCTGCCCCAGGGGAAGGTCCAGGGTGTGATGCTCCTCAGTGTTAAGGTTCTCCTGTTTCAGGTCCGGGTGAAGTTCTCTGCTGAAGACCATTCCCCCTTGATTTTTCCCAGGGATCAGCAGAACAGCTCCGCTTTTTAAGAACAACGGGAGAAGGAACTCAAGGATCAAAAAGCATCGTGTGTTTTCCAGCAGCGCCTGGCTCAGGAGCACTCGGTGCTGTGCTGCCACCAAGCTGCTGAGCCACAGCTGCGACAATGGGACACGGAAACCCGGGGGCTTCGAGGGTCATTCCACGAATGAATGCTCCTGGATCAGCCCCTCATCTCTGCTAAGCCCCGAGCGCCTCTCGGCATGAATAAAACACCCCGCTTGCCCTGCGGGGTGAGGAAATAGCATCACACGGCTGTGCTGTAGGGCGTTTAAAAATTATGGAATTTTGTCCCAGGGGAAGAACTCACCCTTGCTTTTGTATAAGGTTAGTCCCTACCTAACCTCCCTTTCTTTTTCCCTATCCCATGGGCTGTAGCCCCCCTGTATCCCCTGGCCACCCCCTGTCCCCAGTTTAAGAGGCAGCACCCGGGGCACTTGGCTCTCTCTTGCCCCTGGCGATCCACGTACAACAAACCCGGGACTGTCGTTCCGATTGGGAACGGCGATAAAGAACGACACAAACTCTCAAGGGAGTCACAACACGAGAATTCTCTGGTTTATTCCTTCAGGCTTGCTTTATAGACTGGTAGGTGGAAAGTACAGAAAAGAAACTCTTATTGGTTAGTAAAGTGCTATATCACCATCATTGGTCAGGGGCTCACCACCCCCCTGACTTTCTCCTGCAAGGAAAATAAAGGACAGACAAACAGCACCTGGCAGTTGTTTTCTGTCTCTGAGGATTGTTTTGAAATCCTCCTTTGAATTCCCAGGCTAGCTTCTCAGGCAGGACTGAGAGGCCATGGGCCTGCAGCCTGCTCCAAAGCTAGCATCCATACCGGGACCACGTCCCGCAAATTTGAGCCTCCTTTGTCTAAAAACACCTAAGTTGATGTTGTATTTATTATGAGATTCCCCCGGCCGTGTTCTGTGAAGGGCGGGCACAGGAATGAAGGTGAACATTTCCAGCAGCCCTGCAGTGCAGGGCACACCGTGACCCCGGCAGCGCCGGCCTGCAGCCTGCCCGGGCTGGCAGATACGTGAAATACATCTTTTTGCACATTTATACAACACCTGGATACATACAATCACAGAATGTTGGAGTTGGCAGGGACCTGAAAGATCATCATGTGCGGGGACACTTTTCCCTATTCCAGATTGCTCGCGGCTTTATCCAGCCTGGCTTTGAACGCTGCCGGGGTTGTGGCATCCACATCCCCCCGGGCAACGTGTGCCAGTGTGCCCCCAGCCCCCCGGTAAAGCAACGCGTTCTGTGCACGGGTGTGACACACGTATACGGGTATAGAATACAGGTGTAGAAACAATTAATCCTGCCGTGGCAGCCACGCGTCTCAGAGCGTGGATGGAGCAGCGCTGGCACCGCCCATCCCGGGGCTCCTGAAATGCCACGGCGCGGCTGGGCTGCCAAGGGTGTGCGCGGCCGTGTCCCGCACCAGCAGGCAGTGCCAGCATCGCCGGGACACCCGGCAGTGACACCGGCAGTGACACCCGCAGTGACAGCGGGACCGGGAGGGCGTGACCAGGGCGGACAAGTGGGCGTGTCCTGTCATCTGGTCCCGCCCCCTGTATGGGCGGGGCGGGCGCGCTCGCGCTATCTCGCGGACTCTCGCGCGCTCTCGCGATACCCGTTCGAACGGCCGGCGGGCGGGCTCCCTCAGAGGGCCCCGCCATGCCGCTGCGGCCGCGGCTGCTCCG